GGCAGCAACTGGGTCTTGGGTAGTGCTGGCTCCAGATGGCTTCAGAGACCCCATCACCTTCCAGGCTTCTGGCCAGCACTCAGCATCCCCAGGAGAAAGGGCCATGTGGCATGTTTTGGAGTCAGGGGTTGGTTCTCTGTCTCATAGATGTTTGGAAGTTGGGGGTCATCCATGCTGAGCCAAGCCCAGTGGTCAAGCACTTCTGATCTCCTGCCCACCAGAGACAAGGAGACATAGCAGTGTCCTTGACCCCCAGGCCCTGGGAGGGAAGGCATCGGCAGCTAAGGTCCAGAGGCTCCACCGTCCCCCCCCCCCCAGTAGGAAAATGCCCTCAAGGGGCTATATGGCCCCACTGATATATGCAAACCCACCAAGCCCTGTTTGTCCCCGCCTGTGCCCAGGCTGGCTCTGCCCCTTCCTCTAGCATGTACACTCTGCCGCGGACATCTTACAGGCCATGTGTGTGGGCGCCCTCAATGGGCAGGGGTGGGCGGCTCAGGGCACACTTTGCGGTCCTGCCCCATCCTTTGGCGCGGACGCTTTTGTCTTTGTATCTTTGCATCCTTTGTAATGAAACATAATAAAAATCCAATGTTTTCGTCTTTGCTTCCTTCCAGTTTTTCCTTCCCTGCTGTCCCTTGGGGGTGGGCATGGCAGAGGCCTCTGGCATGAGCCTCGGCCCCTCTGAAGAGACCCTGCACACCAGGCTGGAGGAGAGATTCTTAAACTTGGGGCAGTGGCTGAGAACCTCACCTCCCAGAATTCCAGGTCAGACACTGCAGTGAGGGTCTCAGCTCACCCATAGCTGGGATTGCAGCCAGTAACAAAAAATGGATGTGATGCACCAGCAGACCTGGGGACTGGATAGTCCCCAGCAGGTCACTGGGCTCTGGCCTGCCAGGAAGGGGTGTTAGCAGCAGCTGGAGCTATAGGTTCCCACTGGCCAAGGTATCACTTTGGGATCCCTTGGCCCAGCCCTCCCCCAGTGGTCTATCCCTACCATCTCTCCCTATAGCAGAGACCACAGCCACCACTTCCCTGCACCACTTTATTTTGTCCTCTCTGAGCTCTTGCTTTCCCCCAGGCCAGCTGTTCCTCTGGGCTGGGTGCTGAGCCCCCACCCAGACACAGTCCCCACCCCAGGTCCTCTAGCAGCAGGTCCCCACCCCAGTCCCTAGGCCCGCCGCAGCTGGTGAGTCTCGTAGTCCTCCGGAATGGTATCTGCAGAAAGAGGGCAGGAGGCAGATTAGGGGGGCTGGTCGGGGGCATGTGGGGCAGTCCCGACCAGTGTCCCCACATGCCCTCAACTTACCATTGCAGCGGTACCGCAGGTTTGCCCAGATGATATTCTCTTGGGAGAAGCAGAAGACCCCCAGACGGCCACCCCGCATGGTCGTGTCCAAGATAACGTTGCTGTCAGCCACCAGCTCAGGGCCCTCATAGAATCGCACCCTGAGGGTCAGAGACAGTGATGCCCTCCTCCCTGTACCCCATGACTGGGCTGCACTCAGAGGTGCCTATTGGCTTCAAAGCAGGTTGGGCCCCTCACCTGGGTGGGCCTCAGTTTCCCTGTGTGAGGATGGACACCAAGGGCTCTGCACACAGGAGGTGCTAAGCAGAGCATCTGGGCTTCCTAACAGCACGGATCAAGAATTAAGAAATGTGGATAAGGCTCCACCTTCTAACTGAGACTCCACTGTGTACTGCCTAGCACAGATTCATCCTGACTGCCCCATATCATTCTTGTACAGACAAGGGAACTGAAGCCCAGAGGCCTTCACTCCTGCAGCTAGGGCAGAGCAGGGACTCCCACACAGGCCTGTGGGTCCCTAGCCTAGTCCACTGGCAGAGAATGGGGTCCCCACCTGATGTAGCCCACTTGGGGCCGGTGCTGCAGGAACCAGCGGTAGGATGTCTTGTCCTTCCAGCCCACGTTGCGGGGGTCCTTCCACAGCAGCCGCACCTGAGATGCTGTGTCCCCAGTGTGCCATAGAGCATTCCGCAGCTGCTCCCCAGGGCCTGTGGAGGATTTCACTGCCTGCCAACACCCAGGGAAAGGGGGGTCAGAGACCTCACAGGCCACTGGGGAACCCTAGAACCCTACCTGGGAAGTTGCGAGTGGTGGAGCATTGGGAGAGGCTGGATAGGAGACTCACAAGAAACATTCTTGGGGAGCCAAATGGGGACTTGGGAATATAGGTCATGGGGACAGCAGTGTGTCTGGAGGGTTCATGAGAGGATTTGAGAGTCTAGAAAGGTTTGAGGTCTGGAAGATTTGGGGGGATCTGCATGAGAATTTGATGATCTATATGTTTGTCCATGGAATAAATGAGTCTAGAGGATTTGAGGAATTTGCTGGAGGATTTCGGCAATATACTGGGGCCTGGGGGGTCTGCAGGAAGACTTGGAAACTAAGGGGAAATTTGGAGCACTGTGAGAGGGTGTGGGGCTCCAAAGGAAGAATAGAGGGAACCCAGGGTATGTTTGAGGCCTTGTAGGACTGGAGAGGATTTCAGGTCTGTGGAAATTCAGGGGAGCTTTGAGATCTGTAGTGTGAGGCTAGGAGGCTGCAAAGGCATTTGGGTGGTCTGTGGGCAGGGCCCGGGCACCTTGAGCTGGATGCCTGGTTCAGCCACAGCACGGAAGGGGTTTGCCTGCCAGTATGTTTGCTCCATCTGCTTCCACATGACCACATAGAAGCTGGAGCTGTCCTGGTAGCCAAAGATGAAGCCTGCATAGTCGTCATCTGTTGCCGTGTTCACATGGAAGGTGCCCTCAAAGTCCACACCGTTGAAGGCGGTGTAACCTGGGGAGGGAGAGAGAGGAGCAATGGTGCTTTGCAACACTAGACCCCACCTGTGGACCTTCCCTCCAGAGTCCAAATCTGCCCTCTGGACCCAAATTTCTCCAGATCAGCCCTATCCACACACCCTCAGCCCAGGAAGGGCCACGCGGATCTACCATTGGTCACACTCCTCCAAAGTCCAGGCCCACTCTAGCCCCTCCCTCCTCTGGCCACTGCTGGCTTCCAGCACAGCCATGCTCTTCCTCGCTTCTCACCGACAGCCAGGCCCGGGTCACTGTTCATCGTCTGCACGATCTCCATCCCCTAATGTGGTCAAAGAAAGTTGAGTCTCAGGCTGGCTGTGGACGTCATGGCTCCCTGTCCCAGCTTAGGCCCCGCAGTGGAGAGTCTGGGCTCCTCTCTTCCCCCATATGGGCCCTGCCCCTACCTGGTTGAGAACCACCCAGTTTGGGTCAATCTGTGCATCACCCTCCGGGTCCAGGACGACCGTCTGGAAAGCCCGGAAGTCAGTAAGGGTGACCTCGGCATTCTCCGGACACACGTCTATCTTGTCTACCACCTTGTCTGCATCGAAGTCGCCCTGGCACACGTCTCCCACGCCGTTCCCTGAAAGGAGGTGGGCGATCCCCCCGCATGGTGGAATCAGCGCTAGGCCCCGCCTCATGTCAAGCCACACCCACCCTAGACACCGCCCATGCCCACAGCAACCTCTGACACGTTTTAGCCCACCTAGGCCCCTCCCCAGTGGCCCCACCTTGGCCCCGCCTCCACTAGAGGCCCCACCCCCGTCGTACTGTCGGCGTCCTCCTGGCCAGGATTGGACACCAGGCGGCAGTTATCCCGACTGTCGGGCACTCCGTCATTGTCGTCGTCTTCGTCACAGGCGTCACCCTGGCCGTCGTGGTCTGAGTCTTGCTGAGCACTGTTTGGCACCGTGGGGCAGTTGTCCATAGAGTCCTGGTGCCCATCCCCATCCCTAGAGTGGGTAGAGGTAGGACAGAGAAACAATGAGATCCCCAGAGGGTTTTGTTAGGGACAGCTGACACCCACCTCAGGTGGTCTCCTTACTGGTCTTGATCACTGTCACAAGCATCTCCCACAAAGTCGTGGTCCACATCACTCTAGGTGGGGGGGAAGAGGACAAGAGTCAACAATGATGGCAGAAGAACTCAGAACCCACTCACCCCCAGCTGCATAGTCAAGATCCTCCTGACTCCAAGGAAACTCCCCACCCTCGTCCCTGCTGAGACTGGGAGGTCATTCATCTGGTAGGGTGGGATGCTCAAAGCTGGGCTGTGATGAGACTAAGCCAGCCTGGGGCTCACCCAGGGGTGGAAGAAGATGGAGGAGCCAAGTATGGCTTGCCCTCACCTGATCCTGGTTGCTCTTCTGGGGACAGTTGTCACAAGCATCCCCTATACTATCACCATCACTGTCCTTCTGGTCTGAGTTGGGTGTCCTGGGACAGTTGTCCACTGGGTTTCGGATCCCTTCAGGAACCATAGGGACAAAACAGGAATCCCATGATTGAGACTGGGCCAGAATGGCTTCATCAGGACAGTTTAATGGTGACTTAAATGGATGACTGGTGAGGGGACTGGCTCTCACTCTCAGGGGCAGCTCAGCTGGGTGCCCTGTGTGTATGCCACTCAGATCTATGCTCCCAGATGTAAAATGGCACCTTCCAGCCCCCAAACCCAAGCTCATATCTCTGTCCTTTTACTTTATACCTGCAGGGCACCTTCCCCTCCAAACGTCCCTGCCTTTTCCCCAGCCTTGCAGCCTTGAAAGCGTTTTTCTGCCTGCCCCAGCCTGGTCCATGATCCCTGGTCCAGGGTGCCCTTGGTGAGGTTACTGATCCAGATTCCAAGACCCACCTAGCCCTGCACTGGAGCTAAAGCCAGCCTTTCAGTGCCTGCCACCTCTTCCCAACCCATCCCCATGCTCACGATCGCCATCGATGTCATCATCGCAGGCGTCACCCCTGCCGTCCTGGTCTGTGTCTTTCTGGTCATCATTTTTCTGAGATGCGCAGTTGTCGCATGCATCTCCCCACTTGTCGCCGTCTGTGTTGCGCTGGTCTGGGTTCCTCACCAGAGGGCAGTTGTCCTGGGGAACAGGGTGGGTTATGAATGGTCAGTTTTAAAGAGGCATAAGTCACTCCCAGAACGCCTCATTTGCAAGACCCCGCCTCCTCTCCAGGGAACCCCTCACCCCTCTTGGACTTCTGAGACCACGCCACCCACCCAAACCACACCCCACCCAGTCTCTCCCAGGCTCTGCCCATAGCCCCACCCCCTCATTGGGGACCCCGTCCCCGTCGGCATCTGGGTCACAGGCGTCTCCAATGCCATCGCGGTCCACATCCTCCTGTCCTGAGTTGGGGACCGTCCTGCAGTTGTCCTAGGGGCGGGGACAGCGGGAGTGAAAAGCGGGACCAGGTAGTCCCACCTGCCTTCCTTCCTGGTCACACCCCTCTCTGATCCCGCCTACCTTGCGACACTGCCGTTCCGGGCACCGCAGCTTCTCGTCTGGGAAGCCGTCCAGATCGGTGTCGCGTCCACAGAGGATCCCGTTGCCCGCCCAGCCGACCGCGCACTGCGAGGGAGAGTAAGTGAGTGGCCCGTGAGTGATCACTCCCCGAAGCCTTCTTTCAGGCTCTCCAGCCCGCACTCACCACGCAGGACCGCGAGCCGTCGCGCTCCAGGACACAGTCGGCCTTCTCATGGCACTGACTGGGCGAGCCGTCCGGGCAGAGGCGCTGTTCGCGCCGGCGGCAGCCAGATGCCTGGTCGCCCACGAAGCCGGGCTGGCACGGGCCGCACTGGAACGAGCCCTGCGTCCAAGGTGCAGGCGGTTAGCACCCGCTACCTACCCCATCTCTCCAACTCCCGCCATCCTTCAGTTCCTTTCTGGCAGGCTTACCCGGGTGTTGATGCACACGGAGTTGGGGACGCAATTATGTTGGCTGGTCTCACACTCGTTAATGTCCGTGCAAATCTAGGAAAGGGGTACTCACAGGCCACCGCCCTACCTCCCACTGGTCCACATCTTCTCTTAATCCTCCCTCACCCCTCCATAGTGCCCTAACTCCACATCAGCCCTGACGCAGCTGACCCTTCCCCACCTCTCCTTCTGGAGCCAAGCTGGAAAAAGGTACCAGGCTGCAGGACGAGTTTACTGAACAAAATGGGTCCCTCCTTCCCTTCTACTGCAAAAGTGCCCTCCCCCGCCCCTTACCTGCTTGTTGGCCTTGGCGAAGGCCAGCCCCACGCCCTGATGGGTGGGGCCGCTGTACCCGGGCGGGCAAGCCTCACAGCGGAAGCCGGGGCTGGTGTTGATGCAGCGGACACGGGGGAAGCAGGGGTGAGCGTTGCACTGGGGGATGAGGAGCCACGGAGTCAGAGGATTCCCAATTGGGCCTCGACAGCCTTGCCTCAGGGGATCCCGTATTTGAAAACTTCAAGGGCCGTCAGCCAGCACTTAGAGTGGGATGGCACGTGGGGCAGAGACGATCGTCCCAGGGATCAGATGAGATTTTGCCTTGATGGTGGCATAAGCGCGACTGGGCTTTGAGAGGGGTACTACTGGAGGGGATTGTTCCCTTGCAGGCGGGGGTTGGGATTACGAGGGCGGGCATCCCCAGCCGACCGGGGTAGTGGCCGTCGGGGCGTGCGTGAGAGGCGGTGGTGGGGTCGCCCGGCGGGGTGCAACCTGGCAGTGGAAGGATCGTTCACATTGGCGACCCCCTGCTGTGAGGAACGTAATTGGGACGGACTACCCCCTGTAATGAGGGAGTTGTCGGGGTGGGTGTCACTAGCGATGGAGAGGGATGTCCCGGCCGGCGTCCGGGTTGGTGACCGGAATGGTCCGAGTGGACGTCCCCCAGAGGTGGGAAAGTCGTCCGCGAGTGTGCCCCTGGGAGTAGGAGGCTCACTCGTTGGAGCCAGCACCTCCACTGGAGGATGGGGTAGCTTGGGTTGCCGGAGGCTGTTGGGTGGTGGTAGAGAGGATCGTCAGGGCAGTGGGGTGTCAGGGCCGGCGCACCTCGTTGACGTCGGTGCAGTACGAGCCGTTGCCCGTGAAGCCCTCAGGGCAGGGGCCACAGCGCGCGCCACTGGACGTCTGCGTGCAGGCCACTCCGGGAAAGCAGAATCCCGGCGCGCAGTGCAGCAGGGGCCGCACGCTCAGGCCGGGGGTATGCGCCGGCTGCATCCCTGCGGGGGCGGGGCAAGGCTTATATTAGCCACGCCTAGGGAGGAGCCTATAGGGACCACGCCCCCGAGTCGAGGGCGGTCCCTCTCCACAAGGCAAGACTACACGCTCTGCCACCCAGCACTCTGCCAACTCCACCTCTCCAGTCTATCAGCGTCTCCCGCGCGGTCCTCTTTTCCACCTCTCCCCTCAGAGTCTGTCTGCTTCCCTACATCTCACTTATGGCCTGTCTCTGTTTCCCCTCCCTGATCATTTCTTTCTGGCTCTTTCTTCCCATCTCTTGTCTCTTCCTCCCGTTCATTCCCTGCCGCCCCAGCCATGCCTACCACACGCGTCACACTCCATCACTGTGTTTTTCAGGAACGTGATCTCCTTGACCTGCGGGAGTTGGGTGGGGATCAGCAGCGCTCCATGCCTCTCCTACTCCCTGGGATCTCCTTTCTCCCTGCCCGGGACTCACTTTCCACACTTCAGTATACACCGCCCCCCCCCCCAATCCCTCTCCCTTTCCCTATTTCCCTAAGCCTCTCTTGTCTGGGACTCCGTACTTCCAGACCCTCTATTCTTCCAGCTCCTCTTCTCCTTTCCCGGAACCCAGGATCTCTCTCCCCTCCCCTACACTCCCTGTCCGCCAACCTCGCACCTGCTGCCTCAGCAGCTCTCGTACATCCTGGAGCGCCGCGTTGGTCTCCTGCAACTCGCGCAGCATTTGCGGGGCCAAGTCTGAGCCTGCATCGACAGGGGGCGCTGATGAGGCTCCTGGGACCCCGCCACCGTCCCCCTGCTGCCCCAGCTGTCGCGGGGATCTCCGACGCCACTCGGCTCCTCCAGCCTGCTTTCTCCGCCCCACGTCCCAGCGAACAGTCCGGGAGCAGCCCCAAGGGGCGGGGACCCCAGGCCTTTCATGGGTCTTTTTGCCCGTTTGGGGACTGGGGGCACAGCGTGGGCACTAAAGCGGCTTACCTAGAGGGATCTGACCCTGGCCGGACACCCCAAGGAATGTCAAGGTGAGCAGGAGAACGCAGGCGGCGGTCGGGGCCATGGTGGCAGTGGGGCGCTGGATGGAGTCTCGCTTTCTGCCGCCCACGAGGCCCGCGGGGCCTATTTATCCCCGCGGTACGGCCAGCCCCCAGGACGGCCCACCGCAGTCCTGCCCAGCGTCCAGCCGCAAGGTAAACAGAGGGCCCTGGCCTCTGCGTTCAGGACCCCGCCCGGACTGTCCGGCGGAGTTGCCGGTGAGTGAATTGGACAGGGTAAGGAAACTGAGTCGGGGGGACCCGTGGAGAGGGCTGGAGGGGCGGAGAGTCAGGTGAGACCACCCCCTTCCCCGCCCTTTCATCCACTTATTTATTGAGAGCTTGATGTGTGTCCAGCCAGGGATACAGATGCAAACAAAGTGGGCTCTGAGGCAGCCTCTGGACTCACATTTGGGGACATGAAGTCACTAGAGTCTGAAGGTTTAGGACTTACCCTCTGGGTCAACCTGACTGGCCCTCCACTCCCTCCTCACTTGCTTCCAAGCCAGGTAAATGACGTCTGTGTCTTAGCTTTCTCTCTTACACAATGGAGGTAATAAGTTAATGATGATTATTACTGGAGAGCTGGGGACCAGCTGGTAAGGATGGGGACCATGCCAGGGGTCTGCCCCTGGGTCCCCCACTCTTGAGGGTTGCAAGTGACTCTTCCCACCTCATTGCTAGATTGCTGGTGGTTTCCACCTTCTTTATGATCCTTTGGCTAGTGGGTGTGGGGGGGTATGACACCAGACTGACACCTCTCTGAGCTTCTGTTGTCTGATTTGCAAATTGGAACACCCTCAGGAGCTCTGCCTTTGCAGTCTCCTCTGCCTGGAACACCCTTCCCTGGCTGTGGAGTGTGGATGGGGGATTGCTGCGTGGAGATCCACTCAGCTTTTCAATCTGTGCAATGGGGTGTGAGCCCCCTCAGAGGGTAGCAAGTTAAAGGCTCTGGCAGGAGAAGGTCCAATGGGGGCTCAGGCTTCTGTTTGTCAAGGCTGTGCCATGCCTTCCAAGCTGTGCTCCAACTGCTGTGGGAACAGTCTGTAATAAAAATAAAAATCACTGCTAATCGGGAAAATTGTCCCTCCCAGGCCAGTCATGCTCTAGAGCTTCAAAACACCTTGACCTCCCGGAATTGGTTAACCCTCTCCACCCCTGTTTTCCAGTACTCACAGCCTCAATACTATAGACAGGGACACTGAGGCCAAGAGGAGTGGCCTAAGGTCAAGGCACAGGGCAAGAGTGAAGCCAGAGTCATAGCCAGATCTGATTTCCTGGGAGGCTACAGAGAAGTCACCGATGGGTTCCTGGAGGAGCTGACCAGGAGACATAAGGAAAGAGAGGACTCAGATCAGTGCAGGGAAAGATAGGACTGAGTTCATACTTTGGATGAGGAGAAATGTGTGGAACCTGGAGGTGGAGAAATTTCCAGGCATTCATTATTCCATACATGTGCATTGATTACTTACAATGTGTCATGTCCTGTGCTGGGCACTGAGGACACAGAAGGAGCAAGCTAGACACAGCCCTTCCTTCATGGGAAACCCAAATTGGTGGGGAGCTACACAATCCCCCAGTAGGGCCATGGTTGTGATGGGGGGGACACAGGAAATAGTAGGGAGCCCTGAGGAGATGACCCAGTTGAAGGGGGTAGGAGAAAGACAGGATGGGCTTCTGGAGGAGAAGGAAACACCAAGCTGGGACCTGGAAGAAGAGGAAAACAGTAAAGAGATAGTAGAAAGGTGTTCCAGGTAGAGGGAAGAGCAGAGGCAGAGGCCCTGAGGCAAGAATGAGCCTGGTCTGCTAGATGGATAAACTTCAGGGTGACAAGATCTTGGGGATTAGGGAGAAGCGGGAGATTAGGATGTGCCAGTATTGTGGGACTCAAGCTGTCTTCCAAGGCAATGGGGAAACATAGGTGAGTGAAGAAGGGGGCAGGCCTGGAAAGAGAGGCTAGATGGGAGCAGCCGACCCCAGCCTGGTCGTTTCCAGTGAAGCTCATTCTCTGACAGTGCCTGCCCTGCCTGCTGCCTATGTTGGGGCCATGAGCTCACCTCCTGTTTTCCTTGGCGTCCAGCACACCTGGGGGCCACTCCCGACCAGTCCTGGAATTCTCAGGATAGCCACAGCTCTGGCAGGGCTTGTGGGGCTGGCATGTGCTGTGTGGAGTTAGGACAAGTGACATGGAAGCCAGGCTCCTGCCATAGGCCAGGCACAGGGCTGGGGCTTGGATACACGTGGCCTTATCCGTGGCTAGGCTATGGGGATATGTAGAGGAAGGGCATTCCAGGAAGAGGGCACTGCAAAGGCAGAGGTCTTGAGGGTGTCCCAATTTGCAAATCAGACATCAGAAGCCCAGAGAGGGGTTAGTCTGGTGTCATGCTTCTGTCTTCTGGGTCCCACAAGCCCTCTTATGCCCCTTCCAGGTAGCAGGCTCTTCCTTCTGTGCTACACTGGCACACTGCTACACTATTACAGAATAACTCTCTCTAGGTGTCCTTCTATGTTGTACAAGGACAAGCCCCCTGCCTCATACAACCATCTCCATCCTTCAAGGTCCAGCTATGAAACCTCCTCTAGTGATCCCAGAGGGGAAGAGGGGCTCCCAAAGGCCTTTGCTGGTGCGGAAAGGGCAGGTTGGGTTGGAGGGTTTGGTAAGCTGGGATGGCCCCCCCATGAGTAGTGTAATATTGTTATTATTATAATTAATGTTGCATCATTGCTATTAACAGTAGTAAGCCCTGGCACTTCTGTACTTGATACAGCAGGGAAGATAGGGACCACATGGTCTGGGTTCAAATGTCAGCCAAGCATGGCCTTGCTGTGTGACTTAGAGCAAATTGCTTAACCTCTCTGTACCTTGGTTTTCCTCACCTGTAAAATGGGGGTGATCATTGTTGAAAGGATTAAATGAGCTGACCCATGGGAATCCTTGAACCCAGTACCCAGCCCCAACATTAGCCTGCTTATATAATATGAAACTTACACACAGGTGGTGCACGGTGGCTCATACCTGTAATCCTACCATGTTTCCCCGAAAATAAGACCTACCCCCAAAATAAGCCCTAGCAGGATTTCTATGCATTTGTTAAATATAAGCCCTACCCCAATAATAAGACCTAGTGGTCCATAGCCACACTATGCATTTCAGTGCAAAGCAGTAAGGAAGACTGGAATATCTTTTATCTACCACAGCTCCTTTCTCTGAGCTGTTCACACTTGCACGGGTGTGCGTGTGGTAACCGTGGTTGCAGGCATCCTATTGCGCACATGTGAACGGCTAGGGGAAAGAAGTTCATGCATCACTAGTGCCAGCCCCACCAACAAGGTTGGCTCCCCCTGTCAGGTTCCAGAAGAAGATGACTTAACTATATTTGTATAAATGTGGATTGTTGTATTATACTTAATAAAAATAAGCCATCCCCTGAAAATAAGCCCTAGTGTGTCTTCTTGAGAAAAAATAAATATAAGACAGAGTCTTATTTTTGGGGAAACACGATAGCACTCTGGGAGGCCAAGGAGGGTGAATTGCCTAAGCCCCTGAGTTTGAGACCAGCCTAAGACAGAGGGGGACCTTGTTCCTAAAAAATAGTTGGACATTGTGGCGGGTGCCTGTAGTCCCAGTTACTTGGGAAGCTGAGGCAAGAAAGTCACTTGAGCCCAAGAGTTTGAGGTTGCTATGAGCTATGACGCCACAGCACACAGCAAGGGCAACAAGGTGAGACTCTGTCTCAAAAAAAAAAAAGAAACATATACGAGGTGTCACTTACATCTGAGATCATTCTTATTCATAATTTACTCAGAGGGGAGATAAGACAGCCTGAGGTCACACAGCCAGAATCAGAACTGGAGGATACAAGGCATCCCCTGCCCCAAGCCTTTCACACCCACCATCCCTGCCTTTGCACAGAATCCAGACAAGAAATGCTGGCCTGAGCCCCTCATTAACAGTAATGCCTCTGCTGCCTGGGACTCCTGGCCTGAGCCTTTGGCAGGCGCACCAGCCAGCCTGCCTTCCCACCACACCAGGCCCAGTGGTTTCAGGAGGCCAGCCAGGCTAGGGAAGAGGCACTGGTGCCTGCATGATGGGGCCCCTGGGTCCCTTTCAGGCAGACGCCTACTGGGCCAGGAGACGTGTGGGCGCCCCCAGCTCTCTGCCTCCTGCCTGGTTGCCTCCCCTTGTGAATCCAGAGGGAAAGTATGTTGGGAAGGCAACTGCCCTGTCCTGGGCGGGCCAGCCACAGGCCCTGGGTCTGGGGAATTCATCAGGGCAGCAAGGGAGGGCCTCTTGGCTACCTCTGCATCCTCAGCCGAGAAGCCCAACCCATCATGCCTCAGACAGCCATACTGGATGCAGCTCTCCAGAAGGACCAAATGGTGGGGTAAGGGTGGAGATATTCCAGACACTAGAGTCTGGCAGAAGCATCCTGACTTGCTTGTGACCTCCAGCATGCTGCCTCCTCCCCTATTCTCTTTTTGTCCCTGCCTGTGCGAGTTTGAACTGGTCTGGGCTAACTAAAGACAACAATGACAACTGCACAAAAAATAGCCGGGCGTTGTGGTGGGACTACAAGCGTTGTGGGCGCCTGTAGTCCCAGTTACTTGGGAGGCTGAGGAGAGAGAATCCCTTAAGCCTAAGAGTTTGAGGTTGCTGCAAGCTGTGGTGCCATGGCACTCTACGGAGGGCAACGTAATGAGACTTTGTCTCAAAAAAAAAAAGGGGAGGAGGGCTCGGCACCTGTGGGTCAAGTGGCTGAGGTGCCAGCCACATACACCTGAGCTGGTGGGTTCAAATCCAGCCTGGGCCCGCCAAACAACAGTGACTGCTGCAACCAAAAAATAGCCGGCGTTGTGGCAGGCGCCTGTAATCCTAGCTACTTGGAAGGTGGTGGCAGGAGAATTGCTTGAGCCCAGGAGTTGGAGGTTGCTGTGATCTGTGATGTCACAGCACTCTACCCAGGGTGACAGCTTGAGGCTCTGTCTCAAAAAAAAAAAAAAAAAGGTTTGTTATAATGTAACTTGT